TTGGTAAAATCGACCCTGATGATACCAAGTGTTGCACAGGATATAAAGACACAGAATCTCTTATTCACTGCTGGTAGGAGTACAAATTGTTCTAATGCTTTAGGAGACAGTTTAGCATTATGTAAGGTGAACATCTACTTTCTCTCAAAACCAGTGATTTCACTCAAAAGGAAGTCCTACATGTGTGCAAGAATTTCCATATTAGGGCCAGCTCAGTGGACTAAGTGCCTGCTTAGAAAAGCTCAGGGACTGTGGTTCAATCTCAGGCACCACAGGCCATGCGGGCCCCACCCCCATGCTGGCACATGCATGTAATCCCAGCACTGGGGAGGCTGAAAACAGGAGGATTTTTACAAATCTGAGCTGTGTAGTGAGACCCTGTACCAAACACATTAAAAAAAAAAGAATTTCTATGTTAAGCTAGCAACAAGAATACACATAAATAAAAAAGGCAGCACTCACACTGGACTTTACAAAGCAATCAAAATAATTCAATGAGAGCTGGGGTTCAGCTCAGCAGTAAAGCACAAAGGCTGTGGGTTCAATCCTCAGCACCATAAAAACGTTCAACTCCCATGAAATCGGATGGATGGATAGAGGATAGATGGATACAGACTGACTTACCAAGTTTTTACCTAATTTTTTCTATGAAATAAAAAGAAAAACAGGTTATATTTTTAATGAGCTTTTACAATTATATGATTTTGTTAGTTTGTTTGTTTTTTGTTTTGGGTTTTGTTTTGTTTTGTTTTTGTATTTTTAGGAAAGGACCTACAGGGTATTCAGAGTCTCACTACTAGATCAGACTCGTAGTGATCCACCTAGTAACAGCCTCCCAAGAGCTGGGATTACAGGCGTGGGCCACCATGCCCAGTCTCAACTGCCATCTCAGCATGCCCTGTGGGCATGGCCGGCATGGCAGGCCTGAGGATCAAACCCCTGACCCCTGGGCCTGCTTGCAGGTGCTTTAATTCACTGAGCTATTTGGCTGACTCTTATAATTGCATGTTGATGGGTTCAAAGAAAGGAGAAGGTAACTAAGATTTGAGATGCTGGTTATCCTGGAGTGAAGAAACCAGATGACCCAGGCATGGTGGCACTCACGTATAATCCCAAGCAGTCAGGAGGCCGAGGCAGAATTGTGAGTTCAAGGCCAGCCTTAACTACAAAGTGAAACCTTCTCTCAAAAACCAAACCAAAGGGGCCAGGGAGATGGCTCAGTGGAATAAGCGCTTCTCTGGCAAGTGCAAGGTCCTGAGTTCAATCCCCGGTTCCGCAAAAAAAAAAAAAGCCAGATGATAAATCTGGGATGGATGACAGAGGACCCAAGAAATAAGTGCCTACATTTTCCTCCATCAAATTGTTAAAATTGAGAATATTCTTTCCAAAAGAGAAGGTAGTAGAGCAACATCTGATTCCTTCTTTGTCACCTGTACTTACTACCAGGTAACCCTGATTCTACCACCATTTGCAGAAAAGAGATTATGAATTACAAATTTTTTCACTGTTTTCACTTTACAAGCACCCTTTTTTTTTTTTTTTTTTTTCCAGTACTGGGGATTAAACTCAGGACCTTAATTATAATGCTGAGCTATCTCTCCAGTCCTCAAGCACCCAAAACTTGCCTTTATCTAACCCATGCACACTTGGCGAACTACTGAGATCTGGGCATGTTGGGGGAGAAGAGGACCTAATACAAAGCACCCTGCTGCTGTCATGATTACAAGGAAGATGCTTGGTCCTTAATCTTGACTACTGGGATGGCTACAACTGGGCTAGAAGGAGGGATTAAGACCAGAAGTAGGGACAGGAAAGTGCCATCGAATGTCTGAAGTGCTGAGAGGCAGATGGGGGAGAAGACCAAAGCATTTTTAGAAGGTAGAACTTGGGGTTCAGAGAAGTTGCCATTCCAGTTCCTCTTCAAAAAGGCTTTTGTGCAGCTAGACTTACCCAGTGGCATTCAGACACACAGTTTGCAAGCTAAGTGCCTCTGGGTAAGGCCCTGAAGTTCATTCCTGGCCAGCTTCAAATGGAACTAAACAAGAACATGAGGCTGTGTAACTGTAAGGAATCATTCGCTCCACCCAGAATTGTTGAGCCAAGCAACAATTCTGCCCACATTGGAATCCAGAAGTATCCAAAAATGAAATTTCTAGGGCTGGCCAGATAGGTCAGTGGACTAAAGTGCCTGCTTAGGCAGAGCACAGTGGCTGGGGTTCGATCCCTGGCATGCCATGCAGGCCCCACCCACAGGGAGTGCTGAGATGGTGATTGAGACTGCGCATGGTGGTGTGCATCTATAATCCCAGCACTTGGGAGGCTGAAAACAGGAGGATCACTACGAGTATGATCTACATAGTGAGATCCTATATACCCTGTACTAAATGCATTAAAAAAAAAAAAAAGAAAGAAAGAAATTTCTGAGCTGGGCTGTGCATGCATGCACACACACGTGTGTACACATGTGCGCGCGTGCACACACACACACACATACATACAAATTGTCCCCACTCCCTCCTGCTCCCCAAACCAGCATTTTTCTTCACAACCTTACGAGTCAGTAAGCAGCAAGAAATTTTCCAATTACCTAAAGAACCTACAAAATTGAGGTTACCTTCAAATGACAACCATCTATAAGGGGTGTCCACAATATATAAATAAATATCTAAATTTTTAAAAAAATTATTACAGTTTACCAGTAAATTCATTTTACCAGTAATACCCCTAAAAATTCTTCCCCTTGCTTCAAATATTATTATCCCACTGCTCTTACAACTCTCTAAAGCAGTTCTGTAAGTCTCTTTCATGAGTGTCTTCACAAGTTCTGATCAAAAATACGATGGATGCTGCTGCTAAGTGCCAGCCACTGGAAAAGCAGGTTTGTAAACACATCACAGTGTGCATTCACCCACCTTTTCCACCAGATCAAGTACCATACAACTTCTGGCTCTTCCCCAAAAGTCAAAATGATCATGAAGGGTAAAAGTCTTGAATCACTTCAGGCCACAAAAGCAACTACAAGAGCGCAAGCAAAGATATACATGAGACTTAAAAAAAAAAAAAAAAAAAAAAAATCCAACTTTCAGAACTACTTCAGAAAATGGCAACAACAACGGGATAAGTGTTTTATTCTGGTTCCTCTTCAAAAAGGCCTTTTCTGCAGCCAGACTTACCCCTAGTGGCATCACTTTGATCAAAGTAAAGGGAAGTACTGTGAGGAGATTAATGACAATGTCTTTTACTGTAATGTAATTTTTAAACTTAAATGCTCACTATATTTCTATCACACATAGTTATTTGAAGAAAAATACAGGACATCTTTGCTAGTCCAATAAAGACAAACAAGCCTGAGGTCAGGTTTTGTTTCCAGTACAATCAGGCATTCCTGCCACTGTGGGACTCTACATCTATAAATGCTGCCTTGACTGCTACTGTTTAGTACCACCTAGTAAATATAGATAATATATGACACAGGGTGATGAGCGTTAGGACACACCTAGTACAGGTGTCTGCAGACTTGAATACCCAGCTTTACGTTTGCAACTTTTTCAAAATTGACATTGAAAACATTATAGTATTTCCGGATACCCAATCTTCAACAAGAGCTGGCTTTTGAGAGGTGGATTCATTAAGCTGTCTGTGATGGCACACTCCTCTAATCCCAGCATTTAGGAGGCTGAGACAAGCTGAATGCTGCAATTTTGAGGCCAGCCTGGATTACATAGTGAGTTGAAGGACAGTCCAAATTACATAGCTAGACCTTATCTTAAAAAAAAAAAAAAAAACCAAAATCTATTTTCAGATGGATGTGGTGGTGCATGCCAGGCCTGTAATCTGAGCCTTCTGGAAAGCTGAGGCCATGGGATTGCAAATATGAGCTCAGCCCAGGAAACTCAGCAAGATCCTATACAACCAAAATAAGTTCTGAGAATGTAGTTCAGTGCAAAGGCCCTGGACTCATTTTCCGGTGAGAGAGAAGTAGGGGGAGATCTATAACAGAAAGACAAAAAGACAAGGGTCAACAAGATAGCCCAGTGGACTAAGCATCTGCTTAGACAAGCTCAGGGACTGGGGCTTGATCTTCAGTACTGCATGCTGTGCTGGCCCTGCACCTGAGTGCTCTGAGCTGGCCACTGGGGCTGGGCATGGTGGTGCACATCTGTAATCCCAATGCTGGGGAAGCTGAAAACAGGAGGATCACTATGAGTTTGAGCTGCATAATGAAACCCTGTACCAAATACCTAAATTAAAAAAAAAAAAGACAGAAAGATCAACCTAGTTCAGCTAACTCTCAGACCCTCACTTGGCCCAAGAACAGAAACTCATCCATTTTTTTTTTCCAACAAGCAATTTGGGGAATTCTAATACATGCTCAAGTTTAAGAACCACTGGTTGAGGATGATCTAAGATCAGAAAGCTTTAACCAACCATCCCATTAAAATACCAAGGGACAGCAGCAAGAAGGGAAGGAAACCTTCAGGAACTCCCCGCTTCCAACCAGTTTCAGCTGAAAGAGAGATTTTGGGAGCTGAACTGCAATTCTCAATCCCATGCTGCTTCTGGAATGGAAAAAGAGACAGCAGAATACTTTCTGGTTCTCTCCAGAATGTCAAGATTAGCTCCTGAAGGGTAGGAACTGGGTCCGACATCCCCATCAGCTAGCTATGCCAGGTCCAGGGCCTAGCAGCCAGTGTGCACGAGGAAGGAAAGGTGGGCAACATTACTCAGTTTGATCAGCAGCGATCCCCAGCAGTGAGGCCGCAGCATGGGGCAAGGGCAAAGCGACAGATTCCTCCATTGCTAACACGATGATCTTAGTTCCTGAACTAGAAAAGGGCAAGGACTTTGGAGGACGCTCTCTGACAAACATTGTCCCGACATCCCTAGCCTAGTGGTATGGTCCCTCGACCCTGGAGGCCCTCTGTCACCATCGGTGTGGCATCACCACCCTGCAACCCCAGCTGTCCCGCCAAAGATGTCCCTCGTGGACTCTTCCCTACCTGTAGTAGGACAGCAGGCCATTGCCAAGTACGAACCAGCGGCGTTGGTAGCCCTTCAGGTAGTTGGTCCACTTGAGAAGCCAGCCCTTGTAGCTGTCCAGAGGCAATGAGACCACTGGGTCGTTAGGAATCGAGCCAGTTCCTGTCGCTGGAAGTCCAAGGGGTGTCTTCGCCTGTCCGGGTCGCAGAAGAGGCAGGGGCTTTGGCCCAGACCCAGACTCAGATCTGAGCAAGGGCTCACTGTCCACTAGTGACCCCAGAGGGGTCAGGTGTTCTGCTAAGGCCCTGGTGAACGACCCAGCCCCTACACCGGGGCCCACTTCGGACCGCAGCCGCAACCCCGGGAGATCCGTTCCCTGCCCAGAGCCTGACTGAGGCTCAGGCGACGTCTCGGAACCAGGGTCAGATCTCCGCACGCGTTCTGATGACTCCCTCTCCGGAGCCGGCACCTGCTGGGGCTGAGGCTTGGGCTCCATCCCGGAGCCGGACGTGCCACCGTTCATGCCTGGAGCCCCCGTGTGGCACGACAAGCAGGGGACAACAGTGAACAGCGACGAGAGCCCTCGCGAGCGGCCGCCGCAGCCGCCGCCTCGACTCTGAGCGGCCGCTTTCCCCATAGAGCACGCGGACCGCGGCGCGTCCGAGCCGGAGCTGGGCGGGAGCAAGGCGGACGCGCGGGACCCGAGCGGCGGGGCGGGCGGGGCCGTCACGTGCGCGCCGCAAGGGGGGCGCGCGCCCTCGCCCGGCTGTCCCTGCCCGCACCCCTCGCCCTCGCTCGGGCTGCCTGGGGTCCTGCCCTGGAGCTTCCAGGCACAGCCCAGGTCTGACCCTAGGAAGACGCGATGGAAACACCTCCCTGCCGACAGCGTGGCGCGCGAGCGGCGACGCGGAAAGAACCACGCGCGTCGGGCCGTGCCTGCCGCCCAAGCGGTGCCAGGCGCTGGGGAACAATGATGAGAGCGGAGCCCGCCGGCTCCCGCGCAGCTGTGTCCGCCAGGCGCGCCCCGCCCCTCAGCTGGAGTTGGTTAGCTCCCTGAAACCCAAGAAGCCAGCAGGGCCCGGCAGGTGTGGCATTCCAACACCACCGTAAGTGCCTAAAGTACGGGCCCAGCTGGGTGGTGCTAAAACGCCTCACCCATTACCTGTTTTGTGCACCACTGTCCTCGCCTCCTGGGCCAGCTGGCTGCAGGTTCATGCCAGGGAGCTTTGCTACAAGTGGCAATATCCTTCAGGTTCGCTGAATACATACAGGGCGTTTTATAAAGTATACATTTGAGTACACAGTATTCATCTATAAGTGGGGTTCTTAAAGTTGGACCTCCTGGATATCCTTGGGTCGTAGTACTGTACTTGCGAAGGTTTTCTAGTTTGTGCATTTTTCTCAAAGGAAATGACATAGTTTTCATAGGATTTCCAAAGTAGGCTGTAACCCTCAAAGGTTAAACCACTTTTTTTTAAAACAAAATTAATTTTTTGTATTATTTTTTAGGAAAGGCTCTATAGGGTGTTCAGAGTCTCACTACTAGATCAGACTCATAGTGATTCGCCTATTTACAGCCTCCCAAAAGCTGGGATTACAAGCGCACGCCACCACCCCAGTCTCAATGGTCATCTCAGTGCCTCCTGGGGGCAGGGCCGGCAAGGCAGGCCCGGGGATCGAACCCCCCACCCCTACTCCTGCTTGCAGGCACTTTAATCCGCTGAGCTATTTGGCCAGCCCCTAAACAAAATTAATTTTTATCTTTCATTTATTTGGTACAGGGTCTCACTATGCAGCCTGGGGCCGGCATGGCATGTGGTACTGGGGATTGAACCCGGGTCTTTGCGCTTGCCTGGCAGGCACTTAGACTGCTGAGCTCTCTCCCCAACCCCTGGTTAAACCACTTTCAAAGAATTTCTAAATCATTTTAAAGACTATCTAAGGGTAAGAGTTGATGCTTACTAGAAATAATCAGGCATACAAGTTGACAGGTTGTATATTGGGCTTCTGTCCAACCCCTTCCTTATTAGACCTCTTCTGCATCCTTTTGGCTCCCACTCACATGCCTTCCCTTCCCTTACTCACCTACCTACTCCTCATCTTTGCTTGTGACAAAAATGTTCTGTCCAGGGAAGCCTCCTTCATTAAGTCCTGGCCAGAACAGAGCAGACCATGAGCCCCTAGAACCAGGTGCTGAGATATGTGCTGCCACCTTTACTGGTGACTGAGACCCCATCTTGGGTCACTTGTCCTTGCATGGTGATCACACCTGCAATTCTGCCATGAGCTCTGCATTGCACAGACCTACCCATCTTGGGCCATCCCCTAAGGTACAATAGTGGTCCTCAGACTTCAGAGTGCTGACCACTACCAGAAAAAAAAATTATTCTTTCTGGGCAGAAGGGAGTTTCAGGAGAACTGGGAAACTGGGAAATGGGCTAGAGTATATATGTTTACAATTGTCCGCAAGGAAGCTGATTAGAATTCAGTTTTCCATCCATGTCTCCCTGCAATTCTGATTCTGTAGGTCTGAGGTTAAATTCAGGAGCTTGCATTTAATGAGCTACCCAGGGGATTATATGTGGGTGGATCACCAGAGTGGGGAGGTTATGTAGACTGAACCCAGCATCTTTGCAGTGAGCTACATTCTAACTTTTTAAAAATTTTTATATTTTGAGACAGGGTCTTGGGTCTTGATATGTTGGTAGGTTAGACTGAGCTGAACTTGTGATCCTCCTACTCCAGCCCTTCAGAGTGCTTAGATTACAGGCATGCACTACCATGCCATACTCAGGCACAGTGACATGAAGAGCAAATTTTGAGGGCATTGACAGTAGACCCATTAAAGAAATCCACTCAGCTATTCTCTGGCTATGCAAACCTCACCCTCCCTGAGAACTTGCTTGTGCTGATTTGTATAATGAATATAAAAACTACTTCAGAAGTTGCAATAAAATCATGTGTATGAAGCACATTTGGCATGGTAGCTGCTTAGTAAACATTCTTTAGGTTACTTAGCCATAGAGTGCTCTGTAAAATATTTTAGTGAAATGAATTAATCAGAGGCTGGAGCAAGAGATGAAACCAAAGTTCACAAGCTTGGGAAGCAACTGCAATAAAAAAAAAAAAAAAAAAAAGCTTGGTGCCTGCTGTTTCTGTGTCAATACACAGAAATCCTCAAGGACAGAAGGTGACTAATAAATGCTTAACAATATGTTTTGACTGCTCCAATAAATTACCAAGCTCCCTTAAAATGACAGGGTCTAAGACATTAGCTCTGTCAAAGTGGGTGAAGGAATCAGAAAGGGCAAGATTTACACCAAGTAGGAGGGACCAGAAGACATTCAGACAAACAAATCAGCTTGCACAAAATCCCAAATCAGGAGAGAACAGCTGTACGGGAAAAGACAGACAGCTCAGCATATTTGGAAGAGTAGAATAGGTCATGGGACAAAGTTGGGGGGACACCACAGTAGGAGGAATGCTAAGTCATCAGAAAGTAGGGCTCCTATGGATAATAGGATTGTTTTACTTTTTAAAGTGCCAGATTCTCACACTAAATTAAAATTAATTAATTAATAAAAGCCAGGCAATGGTGGTACTCACCTATATCCCAACACTCTGAGAGGGTAAGGCAGAAAACAGGAAAATCTTTATAGAAAAATTCTTTAGCGAATGCAGAAAAGATGATGGAATTAAAACAAACATTATCTTGGAAACTCCCTATGAAGTACTCAAGGTGACCATCACCAATAGCTACTAACTGAGAAGTGTTTTAGCTACTTTCTTGTTGCTGGGACAAAAATACCAAATACCAAGTTAAAGGAGAAAAGGTTTATTTTAGCCTCGTTTGTAGAGGTGTCACTCCATAATCAGCTAGTTCCAAGTTAGGACAGCATGACAGTGGAGACACAGTCCACGGTGTGGCAGGCAGGAGGCAGCATTAGTGAATGCTCCTTGCCCTTTTATTACATTTAGGCTACAAGCTTATTGGTTGGTGCCACCCACACCCAGGGTGGTCGTTATTCCACCACACCCATAACTATGCTAATCTGATCAGTTGATTGACTCAATTATCATACCGATAATCTATATTCACACACTCTAGATTCAGCCACCCCTGAAAAGCCCCACCTATAAGCACATGACGTTTTGGGGGGCCATCTAAATATAAACCATGACAAGGGGAACTGATGAAAATATCATAAAGGATCATGTTGACATCAACCAAATCTACTAATCAATCTTAACATGACCAGAAGTATAACAGAATAGTGTGTTTTCTGATATAAAACAGTAAAAAATACATAGCACCATTTATGGTTATGTTTATTCATCCCACACCCCATCTCACCCAAAACTAAATTGAATCTAATCAAGCTTCTAGCTCAATCAGTATAAGAGAAAAACAAGGGATAGAGGAACATGCTGAACGATCCAAGGATTCAATTAAATCTAAACAGATATCTACATCCTAACCACCAGTTTTATTCAATTACAGTATTTATGCAAAACATTGAAATAGGAAAACATTATCAACATTGATAAGAGCTATCAACCAGAACCAGATACAATGGGCAACTTTTGAAGGGTTTTGTTATTTATTTATTTATTACTGGTACCAAGGATCAAACTTAGGACCTTCCCCTTGCCAGAATGGGTAACTTTTGTTTAAATTATAATCATATAAACCAACTATTTTAAATATTTTGGGGGACAACTGGACAATAGTGAATACTCTGGATTGAATTCTATCACTTCAAAATTTTTTTTTAAATTTTTATGTATTTGGTACAGGGTCTTACTATGCATTTTGAACTCATGGTGATCCTCCTGTTTTCAGCCTCCCCAGTGCTGGGATTATAGGCATGTACCACCACGCCCAGTCTCCTCCAAAATTCTTTTGTTACCCTCAGTGTGTCTGTTCTTAGAGTATGGAAATAAATGAATTTATAGGGAAGGGCCTTAATCCAAAAGGATAAGTAGGTTTTGTCTTTGTTTTTGTTTTTTTTAAGACAGGGTTTCCCTTGCCTGGCAAGCACAAGGTCCTGAGTTCAATCTCCGGTACCACCAAAGAAAAAAAAAAAAAAAAAGATGTCTAAGACTGGGTTTCCCTGTGTAGTTCAGGCTGGCTTTGAGCTTGCTTATGTATCCCAGGCTGGCCTCAATCTCGACCTTGAAGTGATCCTCCTGCCTCAGCCTCCCTGAAATTACAGACATACACTCGGCCAAGATTAGTGTGCTTATAAGAAGAGACTCCATGGAGTTCCCTGTCCTCACAATGGGAAGACAAAGAAAGAAGACAGTCATCTACAAACTAGGAAGAGAGCCCTCACCAGAAGCCAAACAGGCAGGCCCTTGACCTTAGACTTTCTAGACTCCAGAACTCTGAGAAGTAGGTGGGGTTTTTTTGTTTGTTTGTTTGTTTGTGTTGGGTTTTGATTGTTTGTTTTTTTTTGCTTAAGCTGCCAGATATTTTATTGTAGCAGTTCAAGCAGACTAATAGGGAATATTAAGAAAGTATTGGTTTTATTATACATGTTACATGAAAATTGTCAAATTCAAAATGGAGTCATTCATACCAAACCCAAAGCAAAGATAAAGATAGGAAGCCAAAAGATAGAGGCTCTCATACACAGATGACTACAATTAAAAATTATTTCAAGGACTCTGCAAATCACAACCCTGCATAAAGGCTACCACAACATCTCATAAAGACTAAGGGTACTTGTGAGCCAGGTGTGGTATGGCATATACCTATAATCCCAAAGGTTATAATGTTATACAAGGCCTTGCTATGCAGTTCAAACTCACAGTGATCCTCCTGTCTCAGCTTCCCTCACACTGGGATTATAGGCGTGTACCACCAGGCTCAGTTCCGGGTCCGGCACAGCTCACCTGAAGTTCTAGGCCCAGCATGGCATGTGGTACTGGGAATTAAACTTAGGTCCTTGCACTTGCCAGGAAGGCGCTTAGACTGTCGAGCCATCTCTCCAAGACCCCAAAGGCTACAATGTTGTGGGGAAAACTGAGCCAACAGCAGCCAGGAGCTCAGGAGAAGAAAAGTAATTTTACTGACCCTAGCCAGACCCCATAAATCTAATCTCCAAAGTCTGAGGCATTGATTACAGAGAGCTTGTCTCATTTACAGGGTGGCAAACATAAGTTACAAAAATGAGATTAGTTTTTAGCTGAAGGTTGTGGTACAATGGGTATTTTGCAGTGTGCATAATTGTATGTAACAAGGTTATTTTCATAGCATGTTGACAGAAGTTTCAAGTTGATGACAAATCATGTGATTTAGCTGAGTTCAGTGGCAGAGATCAGAATGGCTGCAGCTTTATTGAACAAAACGGCTGCAGTTAGGTCAGATGGTGCTTCAATAACAGGAGCATCTTCTACATATAACCAATCTGGTACTGGGCCTTCTTTTCTTCCCTCTTTTTCTTCATGTGCTTTAACCCACTGAGCAAATGTGCATAAGGGTCACCCTTGGGTCGCTACTGGAGATGATCTAACAAATTTCATTTTTAAAAGTCACTTCCAGACTTTTCCTTGATAAAAAAAAAAAAAAAAAAAAGGCTATTTATAAGTGAAGTGAAATTCTACATTATCATCCGTCACGAACCTTTTAACGTCTCTAACGTCCAGGTGCGGCAAAAGTTCCCTTTGTGAAAGGTTGGGGATCAGTTAAGAGCAGCATTTTCACAACACACACCCAGGCCTCTCCCAACGGCTGGGACATCTTTCCTGGGGACCCGTGGGGGTGCTTTTGGCGCGAGCCAGACCTGGAGTTTTCTGAGGAAATCAAGGCCAACCCGAGGCGTTAACGGCCCCTCCGCCTCGGCCTGGGCTCTCTGCCCTTTCCAGGGCGCTGAGGGCCAGGCTCGTCCAGGGCACAAGGAGACCAACGGCGACCCAGATCCGCGCAAGTCGGAGGCCCAAGGGACAGAGCTTTCAGACCCGCCTTGTGGCCTTCGAGGTAATGGCCCGCAGCCTCCGGCCCATCCGCCCTTTCTCCTGCCACCACTCCAGGACCCTATGTCTTCCGTGGCCGGCAGCCCGGGCTGAGGTCCCTCAGATCATGGAGAGGGTGGGCTTCCATCCGGAGCCAGCTCACCCAGCCCGCGGCCTCACTTTCTCACCTACACCTCACACGGAACTCAACTTTTCTCATTCTCCATTCTCATTCTCTATGTTACTTTTGGTTAACCAGTTTGTCTTTTTGAGACAGGGTCTCGCTATGCAGTTCAGGCTGGTTTTGAACTCACTTTGTAGCCCAGGCTGGTCTCCAACTCACAGCGATCCTCCTACCTCGGCCTCCCGAGTGCTGGGGTTATAGGCATGCGCCCCCAAACCTGGCTATGATTGTGTTTATCAAAGTTCTATATGTATAGATATACAGATGTATTGATGGATAAAATTATATAATATTCAAGATTTGCTTTGATGTAAAAATTTAGTTTTTTTC